CTTAGTTAGGCTTGGCTCGTGAATTTTTGGCTCACGAGCTTATGAGCCTATAATACTAGACTTGGCTCGGCTTGACTTGACTCGGCTCGTTGAGCTCGCGAGCTTTAATACTCATTCGGAGCTTTACCTTGATACCATTTTCTATATCGTGTCATTCTTTTATTATATACTTCATCATTTAGAAATAGTGTTATTGCTGTATATTTTATATATTCATCTTGATTTTCTGCATTACGTAAATTTTTTACATATTCAGCATATTCACTAATAAGCTTACTATCTTTTCTATATCAAAGACGAAAGGTTTCTTTTATTATTTTAATTTGTGCTGATTCAATCATTTTCCATGTAATATCATGTATCGATAACTCTGAGTTCCGCTCATATATTAAACTTGAACTATTGTCAGTCATACTTTGTATTTTGTTTTATATAATATAAGTTTTATTTAATAAAAAAAATTGGTTGAGACAGATACTTTTTGTTAACAAATACCTTACTTATCTCTTAGCGTAAACTAGATTTCATCTAATATATTTTTTATGGCTTGATTATTTATATGTTACTCTTTTATTTAACTTATTAATCTCAATTTTTGAATATTTATTTACTAATTGATCTAATATTTTATCTGTTATTCGTTCGCAATTTTGTATTTTTATAGTTTTTATATGCGTACATTTTTCTGGTATACTTAAGATTGATTTTGGTGCTATCCGGTTACTTCCATAAATAAATATATGCTTTAGATTCTTGCATATATCCAATGTTATCTTTAATGAACTATTGTTGAGGAATCCCCAACCGTAATCTTTAAATGATATAGTTATTATATCTTGACATATACTTACAATATCTTCTAATAGAAATTTGTTCATATTATAATTATCTATTCTTTCGAATTCTATCTGTTTTATATATTTTATTACATTCAGTAATGGTTTCTTTTTTATTAATTTAACAAATTTCATAATATTGTATATATATAATGTAATTCTTCCCCATATTAAGTATGTTGTACATTCATTCCATCATTTATTAACATATAAAACTGAGGATAATAATTCATTATTAGTACACTGCGAAACAGGACACTCCGTATCTAATTTATTATTTTGTGATTGTAAATGTTAAAATATTTTTATTATAATTTCATTTGGAAGATTTAGATCATATCTTTTTAGTGATTTCCTTTTTATAGTTATCTCAGTATTTTGCTCTTTATCTTGTCGTTTTTTTCTAAAATCTGATAAACTATTTGTAATCAAATTTGAAATTTCAGGATATAAAGGTTTCCGAGTAATTGATATACAATTTTTTATCATACAAACTCCTCTCTTCTCAAGTTTTAACTTGTCCATTTCTATATCTGTTTTGAGATTTACTTGTCCTGTTAGTATAAATCCATCCGTATGAATACGCTTTACTTGATTACCTAATGGTCCCACAATTTCTGATATTCTTTTTCTGACTGATGCCAATAGAAATGGTTTGATTCTTGAATGAGCTCCATAATTTTGTCCATTTCTTTGTTTGCATAATGCTCCTCATAATGAAATCAATAATGCTTTACTTACTTTTCCTGCTGTTCCACCTTCTTTCTTAATGTTATATAGTATATTATCCCATTTTCCAAACATATCACTTCCTGTAATACGTGTATTTTTTTCATATATAAGTGCATTTGGTGTTTCATTTATTAAATATATTTTTAAACCATTTCTTTTGACACATTCTAAATCATAATGCGTATAAATTCCTTGTGAATTATATCATAAATATCACGTACATTGTAGACTTTTTTTAGGAGGGCTTCCTTCGATTGTTGCTTTATAAATTCCATATGGAAATTTATTCTAACTTTCTGCTAATGATAGATTTATAGTATAAAATTTACCTGATGCAATTGGCCATGACACCTCTTTCTTTAACATTTCAAATATATACATCGAGTTTACATCATACTGAATAGCTTCTCCTTCATATCTTTCAGCA